CTTATAATAGGAGGTTGTGAATGTCTTTCCAAAAATGTATCGTTTTGAGTCTTCAGGCAGTCGCGTCTGTTGATAGTGTGATTTCTTCCATTTCTTCAGTGATTATAAGGTCTTTACTGTCATGAGAGTGAATAGTCGACTATAGCATCTTCATGGTGCTATTTTCCACATTTAACTCTGAGATCCTTCGGAAATGTATCCTGGTCTGTTGTACGAAGCAAAACTCTATCTTGTTTTTTTTACCCCCAGTAGCCAGTTTTCCTGATTCCAATTGTTGAAAACCCCTGTAATGTCCATTAGTTTGGGATGCATTCCTTGTTGTATAAAATATTACATTCTTATAGATGCCACAGCCTATTTCAGGACATTCTGGTCTGTTTGCTGATCTTTCTCTTGACTCTTAGGCTAACACCACACTTTTAATAATAGTAGTTCTATAACCTGTTATCTAGCAGAGAAAATCCCTTTCCTTACACTGATTTTTTGAAAATGTCAGCTATTTGATCTGTTTATTTCATCATGTGAAATTTAGAATCAGTTAAATTTCAAAATCTCATTCATAATTTGATTAAAATTGCTTTAAACCTTTATATTAACTCTAGGAGAATTAGTATTATAGTATTTAGTCTCTCCAGTTGGGGACCTTGATACACTTTTCTGTTTTTTAGATTTTCTCTATCTCTTAGTGGGTTTTTGTCCTTTTCTCCATATAAATCTTATGTATTTCTCGTTAGGATCATGTCTAGGTTTGTTTGGTTTTTGTTTGTTTTTAGCATGTTATTTTAAATTACTGTTGTGAATGGGGGCATGGAATTTTTTTTTCATATTTTCTTCATTTGGTTTGCTGGGATAGAATTAAGCTATTTCTCTCTCCCTCTCTCTCTTTTTTTTTTTTTGCTGAGGCAGATTTACCCTGAGCTAACGTCTGTGCCAATATTTCTCTATTTTGTATGTAGGTTGCTGCCACAGTGTGACTGCCAACAAGTGATATAGGTCTGAACACCGAACCACCGAAGCAGAGTGCACCGAACTTAACCACTAGGCCACGGGGCCGGCCCTAGCTATTTTCTTCTCTTAATTCTAGTGTAAATCCAGCCACTTTGCTGAGCAATTTCTTATTAATTCTGTGGTGTTTTAGCTTGTTCTTTTGAATATTCTAGGGGCAAATAACTGTAATTTTGCTTTCCAAGCTACACCTTTCTGTGTCTGTTAAGTCTGGCTTCTTGTCATGGGGCTCTTTGTGGGCAGGTACCCACCTCACCTCTGCCTCCCCTAAAGTGCTAAGCACACAGTAGGTGCCCAATAAATGTTCCTCGAGTGAGAGTGAAGGAATCCTGAGCCCAGGAGCTCATTCCTGGTCCTGAGTGGCAGCCTTTTGATGGGTCACTCTGATTCAGGGTCTGCACCTCAGTCTTATCAGAAGACTGAGGGCTTTTAGACCAAGGTGGTCTGATTCAGTCCAACCAATTCACAGAGACCTGTTGCCACTTGTCCACCTCCGTCCAGAGGGGGAGTGGTTGCTGATTTTCCCTAGGGAGACCCCATTTGGGACAGAGGGGGCTTAGGAATTGGACCCAGCAGAGACTGTGGTCAACCCAGAAAGTCTTGCTCTCCCTTCGGTCAGACTACCCGCAGTGTACGCTTCCCAGGCATGGAGCATCCTCTCTATGGAGGGGAAGCTGGCTTCAGACTCAGCCCGTCTCCCAGGGGTCCAAAGCAGGAAAACGACACCTGGGTCTAGCTCTCCTCCCCTTACTTCTACACCCTAGATAGTTACATTTATTAGAATTCTGTTCTTTGACTTAAGAAATAGGTAATACATTCGCAGGGCTCAGACATGACAGCATCCACAAAGTCATATAGGGAAGTGTCTCCCTCCACCTCTGTCCCGTTCCATCTCATAACTACTTATATTAAATTGTGTGTCCTTCTGTTCTCTATTCAAATACAGTCAAATATGTATATATCCTTACTTTTCTCCATTCTTACACAAAAGGTAGTATCCTATATGTACATTTCTGCACCTTGATTTTTTTACTTAAAATATACATCATAATAATACAAATATTGAATACTCATTATATGCTAGTCACTATTCTAGACTTTTATACATATAAACTCATTTAATCCTCCTAATACTCCTGTTATTATCCTCATTTACCATGGAGATTTTTCCATATAAAGAGCTTGCTCAGGGTTTTGCAGCTGCATAGTATTCCATTGTATGGGTGCCTCATAATTTGTGTAACTCATTGCCGAGTGGTGGACACTTAAGTTGTCTCTGTTCTTTGCGATTACGGACTGTGTTGCATGTTCTTTTGTAAGTGTGGAGCTAGAGCTGCAGAATAGATACCTAGAAGGGGGATTGCTGGGTCAAAGGATAAATACATTTGTAATTTTGATGGATATTGCCAAATTGCCCTCTGTAGAATTATTAGTTCTTTTCATAATTGCTTAGCATTTCTCATTAATTGTGTCATTGGTGAGCACTAATATTTCTGTCAACTATAATAATCACAGTCTTCGTTAAGAATGTTTTTATATAGGACTTCCCTCATTTGATCCCCTACAGCTCTCCCATGTGAGGTGGGAACTATCCCTGTTTTGCAGATAAGAAAACTGAGGTGCAAAGAGGTTAAGTGACCCACCAAGGGCACAGAGCTGAGGTTTGATCCACATCTGCCCAGCTCTTTTCTCTGCTCCAGCTGCCACTTACCTCAGTCACTGGCCCTGCCTCTGGGTGATGGGTCTCTGTCACTTAGGTCAGATTTCCCAAGGCTAGAGGAGCTGAATGCTCATGACTGGTGGCAACCCCCATTCCCCTTTCCCACACTCTGGGCTCTCCAGGAAACCTCTGCTAGCCTGGAATGAGTCTCCTGTGTTTGATCAGGAGGATCAAGCCCTGGGACCTTACCTTGGGTGCCTTGGGAAGGTTGGGAGCCAGCAAAGCTGACAACTAGTACCTGCTGCCATGATTTGGCAATCAGGTTAGCCATTAGCTCTCTGTTGGCAGTTTCAGGACAAGGTTATCTCAGTCATTGAGCCAAAGTGGCCCCAGCTAAGATTCTTTCTCCTATGGGGTGACATTATTATCATTGCTGATGAGAGTAAATTACAGCGGTATTTCTGGGGAAGTAACTAAATATTTTTCCTGGTAATATTTGGAGAGGCAGCATTGTGGCGGTTAGAGCGCGGAGTCTGAGCCAGACTGCCTGGGTTTTTATATTAATTTCCTATTGCTACTCCAACAAATTACCACAAATTTCAGGCCTTAAAACAATACAAATTTATTATTGTGTAGCTCTGGAAGTCAGAAGTCTGGAATGGGTCTCACTGAGATGAAATCAAGGTGTCCACAGGGCTGTGTTCCTTCTGGAGGCTCTTGGAGAGAATCCATTTTCTTGCCTTTTCCAGCTTCTAGAGGCTTCCAGCAGTCCTTGGTTTGTGACCCCCTTCCATCTTCAAAGGCCACAGGACAGCATCACTCTGACCTCTGCTTCCATCATCACATCTCCCTTCTCCCACCCTCCTCCTCTTTTCTTCATAAGGACTCTTGTCTTATTGGGTCCACTTGGATAATCCAGGATAATCTCCCCATCTCAAGATCCTTAGTTTAATCATACCTGTAAAGTCCTTTTGCCATGTATGGTAACATATTCACAAGTTCTGGGAATTAGTACCTGGATGGAGGCCATTATTCTCCCTACTACAGTTTGCATCTGGACTTTACCACTTACTAACTGTGTAACCTTGGACAAGTGATCGTACCCCTTGTTCAGTTTCCCCATCCTTAAAATGGAGATGCTAATAGTTCCTACTCCGTAGGATTATTAGGAAGATTAAATGACTTCATGTTTTTCAAAGGCTTATAATAGTGTCTGACACATAGTAATTGCTATGGAAGTGTCTGCTAGCTAAAATATATTAAATAAATAAAAATATTAAAAATATTCACACTCTTTGATCTAGCAATCCTATTATTTGTAATCTATTTCATAGAAACAAAAGCATCCATGCATTAGGCTACATAAAGCATTGTCCATATTGGCAAAAAAAAAAAAAAAAAAAAAGAATCACCGAATCACTGGAATGTCCATTAACGGGAGAATGAATGAATCTGTTGTGGTCCATCTGGAATATAATGGAGCTATTAAAGAGAATGTATTAGATCTCTACTTACAGACCTAGAGAAAGTTAAATTGGAGGAGGAAGTTACAAACTAATGGTATGGAATGATCTCTTTTTTTTTTTTTAAGTTTTTTTCCTTTTTCTCCCCAAAGCCCCCTGGTACCTAGTTGTATATTCTTTGTTGTGGGTCCTTCTAGTTGTGGCATGTGGGACACTGCCTCAGCGTGCTTGATGAGCAGTGCCATGTCCGTGCCCAGGATTCGAACCAATGAAACACTGGACCGCTTACAGTGGAGCTGGGGAACTTAACCACTCGGCCACGGGGCCACCCCCTGTTGTAGACGTTTGAGCCAGTTATTTAACCTCTGAATGTATCAGTTTATCTGTGAAATGAAGATAACAATAATTCTCCCCTAACAGGCTCTAGTGAGGATTAAATGGTATAAAATAGATCAAGTTCTTAGACTCCTGCCAGCAGCTGCATAGTTTGGATATTATTTCTGTTAAGGTGGTTTGAGTGGAGAGAGGTGTGGAAGGATGCACCCAGGATGCTTGCCTGGATAGCTTGGAGGTGGGCAAAGGAAATTCAGAACTGGTGGGAAGAGATGATTAACTTTCTTTTTATATATCTTTACAGTGTTTCAGATAGAAGCCAGCTATTGTTACTTTGATAACTTTTTTATAGTCTAATGTTTTATTGGTAGTTTGGGTACTATTACCATAACCACAGACGCTGAATTGGGAAAGGCACGAAACTATAAACATATCATGATTCAAAGTTTTGTAACTTTTGAAGAGGAATTTAATAACAAAAATTTCAAGGGAAAAAAAGCAAGATAGCCGTAAATCACGCCGGCCTTGTGTGTCCACAGCATCTACTGCCGAGGCTGCTCCAAGCCGCTGTGCTGCTCGTGCGCGCTGCTAGATAGCGGCCACAGCGAGCTCAAGTGCGACATCACCTTGGAGATCCAGCAGCGGCAGGAGGAGCTGGACGCCATGACCCAGGCGCTGCAGGAGCAGGACCGCGCGTTTGGTACGGCGCAGGCGCAGATGCGCTCGGCCGTCAGCCAGCTGGGCCGCGTGCGCGCCGACACCGAGGAGCTGATCCGCGCGCGTGTGCGCCAGGTCGTAGCCCACGTGCGGGAGCAGGAGCGCGAGCTGTTGGAGGGGGTGAACGCGCGGTACCAGCGCGACTACGAAGAGATAGCGGGTCAGCTGAGCCGCTTGGACGCTGTGCTGCAGCGCATCCGCATGGGCGGCGCGCTGGTGCAGAGGATGAAGCGCTATGCCTCGGACCAAGAGGTGCTGGACATGCATGGCTTCCTGCGCGAGGCGCTCTCCCGCCTGCGCCAGGAGGAGCCCCAGAGCCTGCAAGCCGTGGTGCGCACCGATCGCTTCGACGAATTCAAGGTGCGCCTGCAGGACCTCGTCTCTTGCATCACCCAGGGGACAGGTAAGCACCCGAGACACCCTCATGGCTGGCCTGTTTACCCTTAAGGACTTGTGCCTTGCTGCTGCCCCCTGGGGAAGGCAGGACAGAAAAGATCATTTCCATGTGACAGAAAAGGAAAGTGTGGAGTTTTTATTAAGTTTCTTGAGTTTGATCACATCGTAGGTTCCAGGGCACAGGATAAGGGGGAGAGGATGCCCTGACATGGGGCTGCAGCCCCCCATAGGGGTCACGTTTTACTAATTTACAAGATCCTATGGATTAGCTGTGATTTTATGACCCTGGGGGAGTCAAGAAACTATAAAGCTGAGAGCCCGTGTCATTTTAGCTCCGGAGGGACCAACCACTCCAGGAGGTTCTCTTAAGCCACCTGTGTCCAGCAACAGAGAAGTCAGCTGGAACATGAGGTTAGGGTGGAAGGGGGCTGAGAAAACCCCCTGGGGTGGTTAGGTGCTTGCTGAAAACCAGGCTATGGCTCAGTGAAGGAGATCATTTGGCTCCAGGATAGCTTGCCATCTGGACCAGCAGCCAACCTTTGTGGGTCCTGTCTGGTATTGGGAAGTGGGGAGACAGCAGACCAGTTCCTGGCCTTGAGTTGTCCAGTCCAGCTGGAGACAAGATGGGGCACGTCAGTAGCTGGAGAAGGAGACAGTGCTTGACTCTGCAGTCCAAATCTGGGAGTAGTAGCAGCTCTGTTTGTATGAGCTGGAGGTGTCAGGGAGCTTTCAAGAGACAAGGGGAGGGGAGTGCAGAAGAGGGCCTGCAAGGGGAGGAGGCTTTAATGGCTTTTTAGCAAAATCTCTAGGCTGGAATCTGAGCTCTGAACAGCTGGTGTGAGGATGCCCTTACTGGGAAAGGGGAGGGAGGCTACAGAATCTGAAGGCACCTGGACAGGTGCTAGGGATGGAGAGCTTGCCCACTCCTACCCTTGGAGCTGATGGATGTGACCTCATAGAAGTATACATAATCCTAGAATGGGCATGGACTTGTGCCTCCGCCACCTAGGTATTGTATATTACCCCATATACAGGAAATGGCCCCACAGATTTTAAACAGCTTGTTTTGGGTTTTGTAAACTGGCAGTGGCAGAGAAGGGAGTTATTTTATTCTGAAGCATGAGAGATTTAGACTTAATAAAAACAGGAAGAGTTATCTCGGACTTCTCACTGTATGCAGAGAATTCAGTGAGCAATAACGCCTTTAGGATTGTCCACACTTGCCTTGGTGGTGGCCCAGAGATGAAGAGAAGTGTATTTGGGGTTTGAAGCCAAAGGCAAGTGCTCTCTGATTCCACCCCACTCTCCTTCTCGCTGGGTTCATGCCCATTGCAGTTTGGGAGCTTTTCTTCCAACTGCCAGCCCCTCCATGGAACTACCCCAGTGCTGTGAGAGGCCCTGGAGAATGGGTCTCCTGGAAAAGCAACAGGAATGTTCCCTCTGTCACTGTCCCAAGCCAGGATGCCTCTTGCCAGGGTTGGCCCTGAACTGCCTGTGACCTTTTCTGTGTTCTCCAGATGCAGCTCCACCCAGGAGAGCCAGCCCAGAGGCTCCTAGCACTCCCACAGACGCTTCTGACGTTGACCTGGTGAGATGGGTTTGAGGTCTGAAGGGGAGGCAGTACAAACCAGCAGGCCAGCAGGTTGGAAGTTCCCTGTGTCAGGAAGTAAACTGAGTCTCGCTGTCCCTGTGTCTGTAGGCAACAGAGGAAGGAGAGCCCCTGAGAGAGGGACAGCAAGTGGCTGGACTGGAGCTGTCAGTGGGAGGGAGGAAGGGAAGGATTGGCTGGCTGACTCAGAGCTCCTACATGCCAAGGTAGCTCTTGATGGGTTCAGGGGGGTGAGACCAGGGGAGTACAGGAAGTGAATGAGGTGATCACTGGTAGGTGGCCCTGATGGATGTGGCAGATGATCTGTCCCCTCCCTCTACTCCACCCCAGATATGTGAGCCTTCTCCTGGGTCAACATGTGGACCTTCCTCTCCTTTTCCCCCACTCGTGGTTCTTGGAGAGGAATGGAGAATGGGGCCAGGAGTCAGACCTTGATCCCAGCAGCCTGGCTTCCATCAGTGTGTATCCATCGGGGTCAGCATATATCCAAGAACCATAGTTGTTCAGGGTTGGAAGGTGCCCGTACCCCCTCTAATGTTGGCATTCTCTCTGCAGTGCCCCTGACCTATACCTGTCCAGCTTTCATGCTGTAGGGGAGAAAGAAACACTCTTGCATCCTCTGGGTTCTTCTGGCTGGTCTTACAATTAAATTGACATGAGACAGAATAACAGGAGAAAACCAAACAAAGTTTAATAGTATGTATACATAGGAGAAACCCAGGAGAACCGAGTAACTTGCCAAAGTGGCCAAAGCCCCCACCGTTACTACCATCTTCAGCTAAAGACAAAGGAGGATGTTGGGGGTAGTGGTTTGGGGCTTCAGAGAGGAGGAAGGCAATTCATAGGGAGATGGGAAAGCAAATGTTTGGTAAACTAGTGTTTGCTGGGCCATCTATACACAATGAGAGAGAACTGATAAAATGAGCTTTGCTAGATGCCTTCCCGTCTGCCATACCTAGAGTTATCATGGTGATGGCTCCTTCCTAGAACAGGCCTTCTAATCTTAAATTCTTTAGGCAGTTAGGGGGAAGCTCAAAGTTTCTTTCCGAGTTTTTTGTTCTTAAAAATAAGCCAAAGAGACACATTCTGGGTGGCAAATTCTGATGCCCCACAATGCACACACCTCCAGGAACAGGAAGCTCGCTCATTCTTGATGCACTCACTCCTGCCTCTACTGCCCTGGGTGGAAATGCGGTGGCATCCCTTTAACTTGCCCTCTTGGGTGGTTGCATGCATGGCTCCTCTTGGCTGGGATAACTTCCCTCCATTCCCTATTGCACCAAGTGTCTGGTCTCCTCCCCATCCTTGTCATCCAGGTTTGCATGTGCTTGCCTGTCAGGCATCTGGGCCCAGGACTGACCAGTCCTCCATGGAAAGCAGGTCTTCTGGTGTGGGTGGTCGGGGCAATAAGCCTTTGTAGCTTTGTCATGGCATGGCCCATAGGAGGGAGAGATTGCTGCAGGCTGAGGCAATCAGGAGAGGCTTCCTGAGGAAAGCAGGACTTAGGATCTGAGAGTTTCAGAGCTAGGATAGGAAGAGAGCATGGAGTCCAACCCGCCTCTTTTACAGAGAATGAAGCTAAGGCCCAGAGAGAGGGTGTGACTTAACCCAAGGCTACACAGCGAGCTAGGGGCAAGACTAAGAAGCCAACTCCTAACTATCTTAGGTACTGCAGTCCCATATACACAGCTTCAAAAATTAAAGGACATTTTATTTTATTTTCTGGATAGATAACACAATCACATGGTCAAAATAAAAATGTAGAAAAGTGATAAATAATGTCTCACTCTATGTCCCCCATCTGTCCAGTTCTTCATCAATTTCTTACATATCCTTCCAGAATTTCTTTATGTAATTACAAGCAAATATGATTATAAACATTTGTTTTCCTTTCCTTTTTTTTTGCACAAAGGTAGCATAATCCCATATACATAGTACTGTGCCAGGGCTTTTCGCTCAATGAGATATTCTGAAATTCTTACCTGTCAGTAGGCAGGAAGCTTCCTGAGGCCTTTTTGCATCTGCACTGTGATCCACTGAATGGATTTGGCATACTTTATTTAGCGAGTTCCCTGTTGGGGCATATTTAGGTTGTTTTGGTATTACAGCAATGCTAGAATGACTAATGTCCCCAAATAAATCACATGAGTAAGAGTGAAAAGTGCCTTGGATCACAGCTCTCGGCTTTCTTCCAAGTGCCAATTGCTGGTTAATGAACAGCAAGAGGGCCCCTGCAGTCTTGTGGAGGGTTGAGGCGTTTTGCCAGGTCTTTGTCTTGATGTGACTTTGTTACCGATTGAACTGTCTCCCCATACTGGTGGAGGGGAGAAACTAGAGTAAGACTCTTGCCCTTCTTCTTGTGGTTCTTCCTCTGTTCCGTGTCGCAACGTTGAAACAAGACTTAAGCTGAGCATTCAATAGCACAAGCTGTATTCAATAGCCAAAGAATTGGAGAAGTGGGGCAAAGGTCTAGGTGACGAAAGGGAGGGATCGGCATAGTTATTCCGGGAAAGGGGCGGGATGTCTGGGGAACAACCGTGCCACCTCTTTTCTTTCCTCATTTGGTTATAGCCTGCCATTGCCGTGGCGGTTGTAAACTGTCGTGGTGTCGGTGGGTATGTTCTGTAGTATAGTAATGTATCACAGTAAGCGTCTGGTGAGCTGCGAGGTCTATGTCAGGTCAAGTCAGACTGCCTTGTTGCCTTCAGCCGGTTTTGACTGGTTTTGTTCAGCCATCTTCTTCCTCTGTGGTTTCCTGCAAGCTAAAGACAACAGTTAGGCTTGTTCTGAGCTGGGTTGTGGTTAATGTCATATGGGGCAGGGGCCGGGTAACAACTTCCCGCTTTCAGCTGCTAAGCAGTTTGAACTGGAGCGTCAGAAGAATACTCTGTCCAGAGCTTTTTGCTTTCACTTTGGTAATAGGCTGGGGGTGCGTGGCGGGAGGGTGGAGCTGGGTGAAGGAAGTGGTAAGAGCTGAGTGCAAAGGGCAAGTGTGGCAGCTCAGGTGAGCCAGGCGAGGTCAGCTCGCGCTGTCCCAGGAGGAAGTCAGGTCCGTCAACTGTGCCAGGAGAAAGACAACTCTTGGACCTGTGTGCCTGCCTTAGGAGGCAGGAGCTGGGCTCTGGTGCCAGCACGCATCCCTCTTGAAATGCTGGTTTACTTTCCTTGCAACGGTGTGCCTAGGAAATGAGAAACACACCAACAGGCTTAACCAGGAATGCTTGGTGGGGGGTGGCTCAGGCATTTTCCCTCCTCTGTTTCTCATAGGCGCCTTTTGTAATGACATTACAATACTTTAAATGAAAAAATAAACATTTTTAACATTATAAAACAGCTATAAATCAGTCATGGCGATTTTCTTTTGTTTACTGAGCCCTCCTGAGTGTCTCCTGCTGCATTAACCTTGTGGTGGGGTGGCGGGGGGAGGGGGGGTGGTCAGGGAGGGAGGAAAAGAGGCAGAGAGGAGCCCAGCCCATCTGAAGGAGGGTCTCTTACATACCAACAGTATGTAAACAGACATGGAAGGGTAGAGCAAGACCTTTTCAACTTTCTAAAAATTTTTAATGGTGATAAAATACACACAACATAAAATTTACCTAGAAGTGGAATTTCTGGATGTATGATAATTATATTTTTAATTTTTAGAGGAAGCACCATGCAATTTTAAAAGTAACCATCCTAATGAGTGTGAGGTGGTTTAAACTTTTTTGACCACTATCTGCTGTAAAAAATATATTTTACATCTAACCTATAGTGTATACACGTGCACACACATGCCTGTAGCTAAAACAGAAGTTTTGCAAAGTAAATTATGCTTATTACATGGGACGTGCTTTCCTATTTTTATTCTATGTAATATAAAAAATGCTGGTTATGACCCACTAGATTGCCTTCATGGTCCACTAGTGGATCCCAGACTGTAGTTTGAAAAACACTGGCATAGAAAGCAGAGTGGAGACCGTGTGTTTTCCTAGAGGCCATGAGATTGTCTGTTCTCTCCGCTGCCGCCAGCAGGCTCCACTCTGATCCAGAGGGATGACTCTCCTTTCTTTTTGTAAAGATGTTGAGGGAAAAAAAACCTGGGAAGGAGGGGAAGAGGGAAGAGAGAAGGAAGTCATCCGTTATAGCAAATGGCGTGGGAGCCCACATCCCACATCAAAGTGCTCGATGCCAAGGAGAGCCCCGACGTGGGGTCCCGGTACCCAGCACATGGCCCCATCGTCCCAGTCTTTCCCTGCCTACCCTAGCCCGGGCTTGGCCAGCTAATCCCTGGTGTTCCCCCATGAGGGTAGGCTGTCTGAGTGTGTCCTCTACCACACAGGAGGGACAGAGCTTGTCCCCGTGAGGAAAGCGTACCCTGACCACATACTCTCACAGTCGGGCGTGCCTGGCTCTTTCCCTGCAGCTACCCTAGATGGAGAGCCCCCTCCCGCTGGGTGGGAGTCCCTTTCCATCACTGCATGGACGGACTGCAGGCTTCGAATTGGTACTCATCCATTGGGGGCACAAAGTGAGGTGCCAAGGGGTCAGGATTGGAGACAGGAGTGGCAGGCCAGGGCCCCAGGAGCCAAGCCCTGGAGTCTGGGTCACTTGTCACTCATTTTCAGCAAATGATCCAGCGAATGCTTCAGTTTCCCACGATAGAGAAAGATGGTGGGAGAGATATAAAGGAGACAGTGACTATTAAAGGAGGATATGCAAGGGCAGGAAGGGCACTTCCATTTCCAGGACACTGGATTCAAACCCTGGTCCAGGCCCTTAGTAGGTGTATGACCTTAGGAAATCACTTCCCCTCTCTGTGCCTCAGTTTCCTTCTTTGTAGATTGGCAATAATCGTGGTATAGTTCCTACATTTTTATTTTATTTTATTTTTTTTAAAGATTTTATTTTTCCTTTTTCTCCCCAAAGCCCCCCAGTACATAGTTGTATATTCTTCATTGTGGGTCCTTCTAGTTGTGGCATGTGGGACGCTGCCTCAGCGTGGTTTGATGAGCAGTGCCATGTCCGCGCCCAGGATTCGAACCAACGAAACACTGGGCCGCCTGCAGCGGAGCGCACAAACTTAACCACTCGGCCACGGGGCCAGCCCCCCTACATTTTTATTTTTAACTAACTTTTTTATTGTGGCAAAATTCACATAAGAAAATTCACTATTTTAAGGTATACAATTCAGTGACATTTAGTACACTCATAATCTTCTACAACCATCCCATCTATCTAGTTCCAGAATATTTTCATTACCCTGAAACATAACCGTGAAACAGTCACTCCCCATTTTTCCCTCCCCCGTCGTCTGGCAACCACCAGTCTGCTTTCTATGTCTATGCATTTAACTAACTATTCTGGATATTTCTTATAAATGGAATCATACGATATGCATTCTTTGTGGCTGACTTCTTTCCACTTAGCATAATGTGTTCAAGGTTCATCCATGTTGTGTGTATCAGAATGTCATTCCTTTTTATGGCTGAACAATATTCCACTGTATGGCTGGACCACGTTTTGTTTATTCATTCATCAGTTGATAGCCGTTTGGGTTGTTTCCACCTTTTGGCTATTGTGAATAATGCTGCTGTGAACGTTCATGTGCGAGTTTCTGTTTAAATATCTGTTTTCAGTTCTTTGGGGTATATACCTATGAGTAGAATTGTTGGATCATACGGAAAGTCTGTGTGTAACTCTTTGAGGAGCTACCCCTACTTTTTGGGACAGGTCCATGGAGCACTCGGCACTGCGTCCGACACAGACCAGTGATAAAAACAGTAGTCAGCAGCAGCAGCAGCACTGGTGCCAGCCAAGTGCCAGGTGCTCCTCTAAGCATTTTACTGGTAGTGACACATTTCATCCACATTATCCTGTGAGGGGAATATTATTATTATTCCCATTTTACAGAGGGGGACTGAGGCCCGAGGAGTGTTAAGTGATTTGTCCAAGGTGTGTAATCGCTGTTCTGACCCAGGTGGAGTTAAGGCCCAGGGGGCAGTGTGAAGGTCACAGGGAGGCCAATTTCAGCCCAGTAGAAGGATGTCCTCACTCTCGCAACTCTGCAGTTTGAGGAGCTGCTTCCGTCAGTAGTGAGCACTTTGTCCCTGGAGGTATGTAGCCGGGGCTAGTGAGCCTTGAGGAGTTGCTGGGTAGTAAGATCCCTGAGGTCATCTACTGGCCCCGCTAGGAAGCACAGGAATTGAAGTGGTCCCTGGACGCCAGCACCTCAGAGCCAGAAGGAGGTGACGTCATGGAGGGTATTGGGGGGACTCCTGCTCTCCTTGGACCGGGCAGCCTGCACCTCTGGCTGGGTGAGGCCCTGGGGATTGGGCTGACTCCAGGCCTGGGCTCCGAGCCCTGGGCCTGCTGCCTGGTCATTTCTGACTCTCTTGTTTCCTTCCTTGAAGCCGGAGGAGGTGCAGGAGGCGCAGGCCCCAGGGCTGGATGACACCCTCACTGAGACCCCATCTGTGGCTGTGGTACAACCGGTGCCCGGGGCACACCCTGTGCCAGTGTACGCCTACTCCATCAAAGACCCCTCCTACAGAGAGGTAAGGTTCTCCCCAGCCCCCACCTCCCCTCCCGAAGGCCCAGATCCCCCCAGGCAGAAAGAGGTGGAGCAGGGATGAGAATCCAGGCCTTAATGAGCACCTACTCCATGTTCTCCCTCGCTCTTGGCTGCCTTGTCAGGAAGCTCCCCTCTAAGCATGAGCCACTCCCAGGGCAATCAGGCCAGCAGAGGTCGGTGGTCAGCAGGCAGGGCCTGTGTGCGTGGCCGCCTGGGAGGGCTTTCTGTAAGGAGAGAGGCGTGATCTGCATGGCAGAGAGCAGAGGGAACAGCAGGAGCAAAGGCTCCTGCCCCCCACATCCAGGTCTCTGCCTACCACCCCGGTGTCCCTAGAGGCTTCTGACCCAGCCTTTTGGCTCCCTATTGCACAGGAGGTCACCAGCACAGCCACACCACAGAAGAGGAAGTCCTGCCAGACCGAGTGCCCCAGGAAGCTCATCAAGATGGAGTCTGAAGAGAAGGAGGGAAGGTTGGCCCAGAGCTCCCCCGAGCAACCCAGACCCAGCACCTCCAAGGCAGTCTCGCCATCCCGCCTGGACAGGCCTCCCAGCTCCAAGAGCCCTGTCATAGGAAACGAGGACTTCCTGCCCAACAGCAACCACACACCTGACCACCCTGTGGAGGCAGGTAGGCAGGTAGGCGGGCAGCAGAGGCTGAGGCCTGCATGCTGTCTTCCGGGGACTGGGTGGAGCCCCTCTTCTGCATCCTTACACCACCCAGGGAGCCCAAAGCCACCAGTATTCCCTGTGTGTCCTGCTCTCAGCTCCCACCTGATGGGGCAGGGAAAGCCCACGGTTTTCCTGTGGGATTAACAGGGATCCACCTTACCTCTGCGTTGCCGGGATTCAGTGTGGGGAGCCTGAGGGGCTGAGGCCCACAGTTCCATAGCTCCTTCCCCCAAGACACCCTACAGTGCCCAGAACTCTGCCTCTCCACAGGGTGCTCTCCCCGAGAAATGTTTGTGAGTAGGTGCCTAGCACACTCCCAGAGAGGACTTGGATAAAGTCTGCACCCATCAGTTCCCAAATTTTTCTGCAAAGGCCACCCACCTAAGGTACTTCATTTGTTCTAGATATTTTTTATGGGCACTGCCAGGCAGGGAGTCCTTGGGCATGAGTTTAGATCAACCCATAAAATTCTGCAACATTTAAGACAGTTCTTCCTAGATCTGCTTCACCTGGAGTCCAGCTTTGCTTTCATTCTAGGTCCTAGACTGAGCCCCGTCCCGGCTCACACACTGAGCCCCAAGTGACATTCCTTGCTCACAAATGCTGTTGGTAATCAAAAGGGGCTGAGAATTGGAAGAAACCAACGTGCTTCTTTAAGATTGCAAAAGGTGGGGCCGGCCCAGTGGCGCAGCAGTTAAGTTCGCACGTTCTGCTTCAGCGGCCCGGGGTTCCCCGGTTCAGATCCCGGGTGTGGACATGGCACCACTTGGCACGCCATGCTGTGGTAGGCATCTCACATAGAAAGTAGAGGAAGATGGGCACGGATGTTAGCTCGGGGCCAGGCTTCCTCAGCAAAAAGAGGAGAACTGGCAGTAGTTAGCTCAGGACTAATCTTCCTCAAAAAAAAGATTGCAGAAAGTGTCAAACCTCTACAGGGAGGAAATTCTGAATTTAGCCAGCAGCTGAATTAAGTATTCACAGGCAGGGCATAGCAGGCAGTGATGCAAAGCCGCTTTAAGTAAACAGATTCACACAGGCGCACACGGTGAATGTTCACATCCCCCCTTGCAGGGCACACGTCACCCACCCAGTCCAGTGGTCTGCAAGGATTCCCACGGGAGGACACCCCGGATCCCACCCAGCGGGCATCCCCGGCAGGGCCTAACGCTGTCTCCCCTGCCCTGTTTCAGAGGAACGCGTTGTGGTGATCAGCAGCTCAGAAGACTCAGATGCCGAAAACTCGGTGAGTGGCCCAGAAGTTTGGCCCAGGACCCTGGCCTCCCCCAATTCCAGGTCCCAAGGGGCACAGCAGGTGACTCTCAGACTCACCTTGCACCTAGACTCACCTTGCACCTGGGGAATTTCCAGCGCAGCCATGAGTCCTGAACTGTCCTGAGGACAGTCTCCAAATGCCAGCTGTGGGCCTGGGGCACCCCAGCCCTCCTCCATACTGGGGCAGGAGCCTTTAGTAACCACATGTACTCTTCTAAAAAGCTGATAGAATGCTTACTTCCCAAGCCCTGTCTCTTTTCTCGACTAGCCAATACCTTTGTCTGGAGCTTCCTTATGCATTTTCTGTCCTCTTAAGTCCTCAGTGAGGGGGGTGGACAAGAACCCATTGCCTGGTTAATCACAGCCACTTAGGGCCAGTGCAGGGGTGTGAGGGCATGGGCAGCACTGTCCAGGGCCCAAACAGGCAAGTTTTCATTCCATGTAAGGAAGAACTTCTTTACAGCCATCCCACAATGGAACAAGTGGCCTTGTGGGTTGTAACCCTTCTGTCTCTGGAGGTTTGTTAATGGAGGCTGAGCTGTCACCTGTCCAGGGGAACGGGGATCTGAACAGAGTGAAAGGTTGGCCTGGGTGGTCCCCAAGGTCCCTTCCAGCCCTTAGTCTGAGGTTCTGTGTTGGAAAGCGCGTGGAGCCCACGGAGACCGATGCGCCACACTCCTCGCCAGCCCACCTGCTGCAGAGAGCGCGAGGAGCATCCCACCGCTGCCGGCGTCTTATCCGTCTGCCACGTGGCGCATGCCGCCCCCCGCCTTTGCCTTCCCACGATTCCACGAAGCAAGCTGCTGTCTCTGATGTCGAGTGTCCCAGCCAGACTGCCGGTCACCAGGAGCGTGCTGCCATCCACCGTGGGATCAGCTTCCTGTCACGCAGAGCACAAGGAAGTACCCGCCTTCGCCACTTATTCCGCTTGCCCCTCAAAGTGTATTGTGCCCCCACGTGGACTTGTCCTCCCACCGCGGTCCAAGCCGCCACCCCTGCCACCACAGGGCCTCCCAACCCTCCTGCCAATCCCCAGGAGTGTCCTGCCCACCTCCAAACAGCAAGTGGCCAACCCCGACGGGCGAGACGCGCAGTGCGATCCCGCGGCCACTCTCTCCGGGGCTCCCCCCATGTAGCCCAGTGGCTGAACAACTTCTTTGCCCTTCCTCTCTCCTCTGTGGCTCCTCAGCTTGACGCCTGTCTCAGAGGGGGCGTGGGAGGAAGCAGAACACCCCAGACTCTTGGGACAGGAGTCTCCCCCAGGGATTCTGACAGAGCCCCCATAGAGAATCCCCAAGTCCAGGTCCCAGTGGAAGTCCCTCCAATTGCAGTCCTACCACCCCACCCTCCAGAGAAGCCTCCCGCCAGCCTGGGTCCCCCTCAGGCAAGCCTCTGAGAGCCCCTACTGCCTCATCTTCTATAGCTGCTGGCCACCATCTTGTAACCCTGCAGCCAAACACCCACGCCCTGCTCCCTGAGCCTCTGGCCCACTGCCCAGCCCAGCCCAGCCCACGTGCTAAAGGTCCTGCACACACTAGGCATTCAGTATATCTTGATCAAGGAGGAAACCAGAGAACGAATGGCTACATGGACTCTGGCAGAAAGACTTAAGTCCTCTTCAGCCAAGAGGTCATGTGATGACTGAGATTCAGGCCACCCTTCCACACATCCCTGGGCCTCTGTCCACCAAAAGAAAGCTTCTCTTGCCCTTTGCACCTCCCACTGCCCCATCCCCCCCACCCCAAGCCTTTCCACTGGGCCTCTGCCAGGATCTGAGCCCATGAGGGCAGAGACTGTGTCCATCCTGGGACCTGGCAGATGTGGCTGCTTAATAAATATTTGTTGAAAGATAGCCTTGCAAACCCTTCTTCCATGACCATCAGCTTCCCTGCTGGACTTAGTTCTTCCCTGCAGGCGGCTTTGCCTCCTCCCTGCACGGAAACTTGGTTCTCCTGTGGGAAAACTGTCTCTTTCTCCCACACCCTATGAGCATCAGAAGTGGGAGGCGGGGTCAAGGCCCTCTGTGCCTCCTGGACTGTTTCAGTCCCACCATCTGGTAAGATCTCCTGCGCCTTTGAGGTTCCAGGTCTCCAGGTGAACCCTACTTTCCCCAGCCCCTCAGATCTCCTCCCACCTCACCCCACACAGGGAAGACCCTGGCATCTGCCTCCTAGGTTTCCTGTCCCCACCTTCTTCCTGGGTGACTTCAGCATCCACCACCCTGACCTCTGCACTCTTTGAGCTCTTGAGGGTCTTCACTCCATTCTGCTGCAGCCGCCAACCACATGGCCACACCCTGGACCTCACCATCACTGAGAATTGGCCCACTCAGACTGACCACAGCCTCCTGTCCCTTGAGCTCTATCAGTTCCTTTCAGGTCCTCTGCTCTCCCTCGCAGCTTCACCTGTAGTTCTGGCTGCTCCTCCTCCCTCTCTTTTGGGTCCCTATTCTTTTAAATATTGTTCTTCCCGCTTTGCTTCTGGGCCCTCTTCTCTTTTTAGTCTGTGTCCTCTCCCTGGTGACCTAGCTGCACCCATGGCTTCAGTTACTGCCCAGGAGCTGCTGATGTCCGGCACTCACTCCTGCCTGCCAGACCAGTGTAGCCAATGGCCTTCCGATGTCTCCACTCGGATGCCCCATAAACATGTCAAACTTGCCCTCAGATGCCCTATAGAAACCTCAGATTTTGTCTCTTGTCCTCCCTTATCGGCAAGTTGTACCAATCTGCCCAGTTACACAAGCCGAGACCCCAGAGCTGCCCTGCACAACCCCCCTTTTTATTATTCCTCACACTCAGTCAATTTTTGAGTCTTATCTTTACATGTTCTGAATTCCTCTGAAATCCGAGCCCTTCTTTCCATCCTGTAAGATTAAAACTGACCCTGGGTGGAGGTAGAAGCCTGGGAAGGGAAGCTAGAGAAGAGGATTGAAATGCCACTAGTCTCACCGGTCTTCACGAGAGTCAAGTGGAGGAACTGAAACCAGCAATATTTAGGGGGTGGGGTGTCAGTCGAATCCTCAGCTGTCAACAAGGAGTTACTAGGTGATGTCTGAGGTTAATCAAGGAAGGAGGTAGAAGCACCTTTCAGGTTATGAAGAATTAAACAATTAGAAGCAGCTGCTCACCTTTGGAGGCGGTGTCTGGAGGTGAGAGCCAGAGGACCACCACTTTTGTGTAGGTATTCATCAGACACACTTTTTTTTTTTTTGGTGAGGAAGATTAGCCCTGAGCTAACATCTGTTGCCAATCTTCCTCTTTTTGCTTGAGGAAGATTGTCCCTGAGCTAACGTCTGTGCCAGTCTTCCTCTATTTTGTGTGTGGGACACCGCCACAGCATGGCTTGATGAGTGGTGTGTAGGTTTGCACCTGGGATCCAAACCGGTGAACCCTGGGCTGCTGAAGCAGAGCATGCACACTTAACTGCTGCACCACTGGGCTGGTCCCCTAGACACACATTTTTTAATTTAACCATTACAGGTGTCCCAAGCTTTTTGGGAAAAAAAAGTTTTAAAGAAAATAAATTAGGTCCCTCTCGTGCATTTCTCACGCAGCTCCCATGCCCCCTTCCAGACTCCTTGGTTTTCTTAGAGTACCCATGGCAACTTGGAGGGGGTAGGGTGACATTCACAGGGTGTGCCAGCGTCCCGCACACCGATGCCCACTCCATGAAGTTTATCTGACTTTACAGTGTGAAAGTTGTAGAATACTGGCCTGCTAAGAAATCACCTTTTCAAGTGTACCAGGGCACGTAGGCACCCCTTGCCTGCCCTCACCCAGCTCCGGCTGCAGCTATGCCAGTTGGTGGACTCTAGCTAGACGTGGCGGGTGGCTCTGGTGTAGGCCTGGCATTGTGGAGTGACTGCTTAAGCAGGAAGAGTGCTCTATAAGAGACCTCCCCCTGCTGGAAGAGGCAGTGGGGCCATAGTTGGGTGGAGGGGCAAGACCCTCATGGTGGAGACCTGGAGTGAGGACCATGCTTAAAAACGAGGGTGAGTCAGCAGTGCCTCCTCTATTGTGGGCCTTATGTTAGGATCCAAGGCAGAAAAGGATGGGAGTTCTCACCCACTCGTGCACAGATGACTGGCCCCAGAGTGCAGCAGCAGCAGGACCAAGTGGAAGCAGGAGGGGGCCCAGCCAAGGGGGCAGCCCCTGGTAGAAGTGGCAGTGGTGACTGGCAGTGCAAGGGAGGCCTGTGAGGAGCAGCTGATCCAGGGGAGGGGCCGTGATGCTGGTGAGTGTGTTAGAAAAAGAAACAGGTGCCCGTCTGGGAAGATGGGAGCCATGTCCCCTGAGGGACAGCAGCAGCCTGCGGAGGGGCTGGAGCAGTGGGCAGAAGGTAGTCAAGGCCACAGGCCAGCTGATGAGGTGATCCAGTTCACAGATGCATGTGAGGTAGTTTTGGGGCCTTAAAAACTGCAAGAGCTGGGGTTTTGTTTCTGCGGCAAACAGCAATGTGTGTGTCTTGCCAAACTGATCCCAGCTGTTACTTAAGCTTGGGTGCTGAGAAAGTTCCTCAGCAGCTTGGGGACTCTTGATAAGAATTAATGCCAGATACTAGATAATTAATGTCTTCAGGTGACTGGATGCTGAATATCAGAGTCTGGCTCTTGTCTGATCTGCTGATGACCAAACATGGAATGAATGAATCAGTAATTAGGACAGTCATTCTCAGCCCTGGCTGTACCCTGGAATCACTTGGGGGGTTTTACCAAGGACAGATTCCTGGGTCCCACCCCCAGAGATTTTAATTGAATTGGTCTAGGGTTCAGCCTGGGCATCAAGATTTCTAAAGCTGCTAATGCACAGCCAAAGTAGAGGACTGCTGAACTGGGGGCACGAGTTCCACATTTGTGTCAGAGAAGCGCTGCACATTTGTGTAGGTATCAGCTTTGAATGAAGGCGACATGTACCTCCTGGGCTATGATCCAGCAGGGAGAGGAGACACTGGATCCTCCAGATCAACCTCCTAGACTTTAGGAAGGTGATTAAAATGTCAACCCAGCTGCTCCCTATGACCACATTTGGTATGGTCATTAGACCTGCTGTGTTGAGTTGGAATGCTCTTGACCTGCTAAGTTGACCTGTGATGAAGATAAGTGAAACATAGCTCATGAACCAGATTGCATGTGTACCTTGGAAAAGTCCTGGATCCCACATGGCTTGGTCTGAGGACAGTTTTGCAGTCAAAGAAACAGTTCATTAACCAAGCAGAATAAATAAATTCCAGTATTTACTTGCATCTTTCAAAGAGTGTTAAAAGGCATCCAATTCCTAACTCACAGCAGCACTTCTTAAATTCCTCTCCCCTTTCCTGTGGCTCTCGTCGTCCCCCCCTCCCTAGTTCCTCAAAGCCGCTCCCCACTTTTCACTTTCCAGTCCTTGCACATGGGCTCTCGTCTCTTCCCCACTCCATTCCCTCTGCTGCATTCCTTTTCCCTTCCAAGCAATCTCAGCCTTTTCCAAGGAAAGGCCCTCTCCTGGCTTGGGTTTTGGGCTCTACTACTGTCCCTCTCTGCTCCCGATTGTAATAAGGCCAGAAGTGGGGGTGTCGGGGTGGGTCTTGAGGGTTTCCTTTAGTGAGCAGAGCCAGAAAGACATCCTGTGCCAGAGTCTCTATGGGCAGATTGCCCTCTGTTAAACTTGGGTCTTTAGAAAAGTCTTTTCGGGGGTCAGCCTGGTGGGTGGCAGAGTGGTTAGGTTCACACACTCTGCTTTCAGTGGCCTGGGGTTCACTGGTTCAGATCCTGGGTGCGGACCTATGCACTGCTTATCAAGCCATGCTGTGGCTGCATCCCACATAGAACTAGAAGGAAGAGAACAAAAGAAAGAGATGAAAGGGGCCAGGTTAAGTTCCTACACTCTGCTTCGGCAGCCTAGGGTTTCGCCAGTTCGGATCCTGGGCATGCACATGGCACCATTCGTCAGGCCATTGCTGAGGTGGCATCCCACATAGCACAACCAGAAGGACCTACAACTAGAATATACAACTATGCGCTGGGGCTCTGGGGAGGAAAAAAAAAGGAAGATTGGCAACAGATGGATTGGGCCAATCTTCCTCACCAAAAAGCATGCTTTTTAAAAAAAAAGTCTTGTTTTAAATGTGCTGTGTTGCTGGGATTTCAGGCAGGGAGGGGAATTGAGTTTACAGCTGGCTGGAGGTCAGTGGAAGGCCTTCCAGTGAGACCAGCCCCATAGAGGAGGCGTACTTTTTTTTTTTTAAAGATTGTCACCTGAGCTAACAACTGTTGCCAATCTTCTCTTTTTTTTTCTTCTTTTTCTCCCCAAAGCCCCCCAGTACATAGTTGTATATTGTAGTTGTGAGTGTCTCTGGTTGTGCTGTGTGGGACGCCGCCTCAACGTGGCCTGATGAGCGGAGCCATGTCCATGCCTGGGATCCAAACTGGTGAAACCCTGGGCTGCCGAAGCGGAGTACGTGAACTTAAACACTGGGCCACGGGGCCGGCCCTGTGCTGCACTTTATGGAAGTCCTCAAGGACAAGAGGAATCTGAGAGGAAGAGCAGTTGGGGCTAGAAGACCCAGCCTTCCCTCTTTAACAAGCTTATCGAAAAGGGGATGTCCTTTTATTAAGGGAGCAAGCAGGGTCTTCAGTAACTGCAGGACAAAGGACATATCCGTGAGTAAAAAAGAGAAAATGACCCCAGGACAATGGGAGGATCTAAAAATGAGATTCTGATGGCCATCATATATGACCCCGGTATAAAGAGGAGGGAGCAAGCCCCAAGATCCAGCTGTGCTGCTCTCCAGGGAGCTCCACTCTTAGAAGAGAACATCTGAAGAGAAGGCTGGCTCTAAGGCCTGAAGGAGGAGACAGGTGGAGCACTCCGGGCCACTGCAAGGGCTTCTGCAGTGTTGTTTGGAGCGAAAAGGAGAAGGAAGAAGAGAAAGCCCAATGTGCCCTGTTGGTGGGTGACAAAGAGGACTCGGCCCAGGGGACGGCTCTTCAGACATTGGCAAGAGGCAGCTGAGGCCAAGAGGAGAACATAGCAAGGGGAGTCCAGCACTTTCCACCAGCCCAAGTGCAAGAGCAGGCGCTGGAGACAGAAAACAACCGGATTTTCCCACAGGGGAGGAAGGCGGTGTCTCCCGTCCTGTCCACCAGCTAGCAACTCGAGAAAGACACCTGTAGAAGGCCCCTTACAGGAAGGAGAGGGAGCCAGGACAGTGAGACAGACTCAGAGCAAGACATGCAAAATCAGCCTCTGAAGCGTGGCCAAATCATGGAGACGGACAGTGCAAGGCATTTGGCAAAGTCTTTTATAGGCCCTTATGTATAAAGTCCCAGAACTCACGGGCTTCTCTAAGCAGAACCAGCTCTAGATGGATTCAGAGTGAATGTCTGTTTCTATCAGCAACTGGAAGGAAGTCGGTGAGCCTGGGGTAGGGCTGTGAAATGCAAATTTCCACTCCTAGGAAAATCCAGCACATTTTACCTGTGGTTAGTAATGACATAGCTCTTAGCTGAAGTTTTGTTAAAACAGATGTTTCATCTAGAGAGTAGAAGGACCTAGGAGAACACGTTAATAATCTTCTGGGCCAGGGACATTAGCCAGAGGCCAGAGTTCCTGGGCTCAGTCAGCCCCAGGTGAGGCGAACTCCATCAGCCAGTCCATAAGGAGGAAAGACCTGAGGCCTGCTCTGGACTCTCCCAGCAGTGTCCCCAGTTGGCCCTGTGACATTGGCCATGTCCCTTCCTCCTGGTCTCTGGATAATGTCCTCAGGTGGCATTCACAGGAGGTTCTAAGCAGGTCACCAAAGATAGAACGTCTGGATTTGGCAGCTGTGCAGATGATGAGCAATTAAATCTATATATTACGAGAGGCCCCTCCTCCCTCTTTAGCCCCAGCCTCCTGGGAGACTCTCAGAACTTGAGCCCTTCCCCTACCTGAGGCCTTTCAAACTTTTTGGGCTTGGTGCTGGAAAGAACGGAGCCTCAGGTGCCCAGCCTCGAGGACCTCTGGGCCTCAGGCTTCCCTAGCACGGGGCAGGGTAGGGGGTCCTCCAGGCTCTAAGCCTCCTTCTCCCTCCACTGCTCTCACTGCCAGGCTCTGCATGTCCACCTAGATGTGGCATTCTAGAAGCCAAGCAATCCACCCCTCCCCTCTGTGTAGGACACTGGGACCTCAGCTGGCTTTGGCTCCTGTCCCCTTCCAGAGAAACATCTGGGGATGGAGATTAGGCTCCTTCCTCCTGTTCCAAGTTCATGATATTTCTGAGTCTGCTCAGAGATGAAGTGAGGAGCAGACCCCTCCCTGCCCACCATAGCACTGCCCCCACACCCAGCACTACTCACCCATGCACACGCCTGCTCACATATTCACACACTGTGTGTCAACACAGGTCCATAATCACACCCCTCATGCACACCCAGATGCACACACACACACACAGTTCACATCTGCATTTATTCCCACACTCGTGCTTTCACATACACTCACACTTGCCTGCAGGATCTCATCCTCACTCCTACTCACTAATGCACATGCAGTGGTTCACACACACAACCCTTGCACGTGCACGTGCACATTCACATCTGTTCATGCACACACATTCTCCCATGCACATGCACTCACTTGGACATGCACCTTCCCTTTCCCAATAATATATCACCCTCATGTGCATACAGATGCCCCCAGCCATACCAACTTGCTCGTGTTCCCACACATTCACATTCTTGCACACACAACCACACACACCAACTTACTGGCACATCTGTGCATTACCAGTGTGCCCCCTCTCGCCCTCCGGACCCCTGACCTGTTGGTTTCTCTGTGTTGCAGTCCTCCCGAGAACTGGATGACAGCAGCAGCGAGTCCAGTGACCTCCAGCTGGAGGGCCCCAGCTCCCTCAGGGTCCTGAACGAGAGCCTCGCCGACCCCCAAGCAGAAGACAGGCCCCTGGTTTTCTTTGACCTCATGATTGACAATGAAAGTGGGTTCTCCAGTACACCCCTACCCCTTTCTAGCTTAGTCTCTGAGTCCCCAAGTTAAGTGCAGGCAAAGCCATCTGCAAGGCCCAAGAGCCCTGAGCGCTGGCCAGTGACTGCAGGCAGAGAGTGGGCAGATTACTGCGTCTCCCCTGGGACGCCCAGCTGTACCACGAATAAGGACTTCTGCCTTGCCCAGTGCCTGAAAGCGTGAGGCGGGTGCCTCCAGGAGTTCACCTCTGCCTGGTGCTTCTCTTAGAAAGCCTGGGAACACACTTCTAAACAGAGACACAGGGCGGGAAGTCACTGCTGTGAGACCAGCAATCCAAGCAAGGCCTTAGGCTGTGACTGCACATTTCTGAGGACAGGGCCCATTCTATAGGCTGCTGCACAGGGAGGCCAACAGAGAGAGCACCCCTTCTCCTGCTAGCCCCTCTACTCCCCACTGTCCTTGGTCTGGCCCTGCAATGCCCTGCCCTGTAGTGTGGACTCGACATGGGGCTCGCCAGCCAGCCAGAAGCAGCAGGTGTTTCCGTAGGACAAGGGAGGCATTTGCAGACCTCCCAGTGAGGCTCTGGGCCATGCTCTGAATGGAGTGGCCTGGCCAGGTGTGCTGTCTATCCCAGGGCTCTGAAGGCTGGGAGCTTTAGCTAAGTGACTGATGGGTTTGGAGGCCAGGGGGCAGGGAGTAGAGGGCCAAGTAGAAACAATGAGGGGTCTCGAGTGTAGGGGGGGTTGCGGGCTGACAGAAGACAGACAGGAGGGACCTGGATCTAAAGGGTTTGGTGAACTCTGGGGCAAGCAGCAAGGTAGCAGGGAGCTGGACTCCCAGCAGGTGAGCAAGGGGTGTTTGCAGGGCAGCCTGACCTCCCCTGCTGACCCCTGTCCCCATCACAGCCAGGGTCAGAGCCACATTTGGAGGTTGATGTTTGGTGCCCGCCGGCAGGCTGCAAAGAGGAGGTCTCTGGATGGTGGGTCGGCAGCGCTAGAGGACCCCTGTTCCCGCCCAATGCCTCCCATGCCCCTGGGGCCTCACCCTGCCCTTCTCTCCTGCTCAGCCCAGAAGATTAGGCAGCTGGCAGCTGTGAACCAGGAAAGCAAGTTCCGCGTGCTCATCCAGCCCGGAGCCTCCTTCAGTGTCTACTCCAAGGCCGTCTCGCTGGAGGTGGGGCTGCAGCGCTTCCTCTGCTTCCTGAGCTCCATGCGCCACCCCATCTTGGCCTGCTATAAGCTGTGGGGGCCCAGCCTCCCCCACTTCTTCCAGGCCCTGGAGGGCATGAACAGGCTGTGGGAGTTCCAGGAGGCCATCTCGGGCTTCCTGGCCACCCTGCCCCTCATCCGGGAGCGCGTGCCCAGGGCCAGCAGCTTCAAACTCAAGAGTCTGGCCAAGACCTACCTGGTGAGAAACATGAGCGAACGCAGCGCCCTGGCCACCGTGGTGACCATGCGCGACCTGTGTCGCCTCCTTGATATCTCCCCAGGCCCCCAGCTGGCCCAGCACATCTACTCCTTCAGCAGCCTGCAGTGCTTCGCGTCCCTGCAGCCCCTGGTGCAGGCGGCTGTCCTGCTCCAGGCCGAGGCCCGCCTCCTGGCACTCCACAACGTGAGCTTCATGGAGCTGCTGACTGCACACCGCCGTGACCCACAGCGGGGCCTGAAGAAGTACAGTGGCTACCTGAGCCCACAGACCACCTCGCTGCCCGCTGCCCAGCCTGCTTTCAAACTGCAGGCTCTGAGTACCTACTTCAAAGGCCTGTTGGATGGGCCGGCCTTGACTCGGGCAGAAGGCGCCTCTGCCTGGCTCACCGGCCACAGCTTGGCAGAAAGGCCCTCCCAGCAGAGCTGAGAGGAGGGGAGGACTGGCTTGGAGGCTCTGGAGGCAGCGGGATGGGTTCCCTGAGCCAGGCCCCACCCATCACAGCATTTGCAAGTCCTGCTCTCCGGTACTCAGTTGTCATTTTGTTAAGAATCAGTTCTCTGGGACCAAATTCCCCTTCTCTAAAAATCCCACAGAGAAGGTTCCAGGGCCAAGCAGCCACCTTCCACTAGATCGCATTGGGGGCCCTGGGAGCAGCTCACCTAGCCTGCTGGCCCCTCCCCTCCAGGAGCCAAAACCAAGGAGGTCCTGGGGGAAGATGTCATGGCCTCTGGGCTCTCTAAGTGACCCCGTCTTGCCCCAGCCACCTGACTTGCCACTTCCATGGGTGTCCTTGCAGCTCTTCCCTGACCTTCGGCCACTGCCCCAGGGGACTTGCTGGCAGCTCCCATGGACACTTTCGACAACATCAGTGGCCCCACAGGTACTCAAAGTGCCTTTCAAAACAAACTGCCCCTTGTAAGTTTGGATTCTCCCAGCCTCTGCCTGCCTGGAGGCCACTCTCTGTTCACTTCCCCTTTGGAACATTTTCAGCCCCAAAGGGCCTCATATCAGCAGAGACGGAGGCTGCCCCATGCCTGTTCCTACTGCCAAAGTCTGACCCTTCCAAGCTTACTTCCTCCCTCCTGGCCACACAAACACCTCCCCTTAGTTGAGGCCGCCTACTCCTCTCAGCATGGCCCTTTGCATCTCTGCACTGCATCCCCAGCCCTCCAGAGGAACGTCCTCTAACCCAGCGCCGCTCTCCGTGTAGTCCAGGGACCCGAAGCACTGGCATCCCCTGGGAGCCTCCATCCCAGACCTCCGGAAGCAGAGTCCCTGGGGCGGGGCCCAGCAAGCTGCTTTAGCAGGTTTGCCAGATGATTCTAATGCCCGCTAAGTTTCAGAACCACTGCTCTGATAGACTGCTTCTCCAAGGGGAGGCAGCGTGGAGCTGCAGAGAAAGTCTCGGCCCCGACTGTGTGCTCTGAGTGTGACTCAGGAAAAGGCCCCTTCCTGAGTCCTGCATCTCCACCTGTAAAATGGGCTGGTTGGCCCCAACAGCCTGAAAGCTCCCACCCAGGTCTGCCACTCCGGGGTTTTAGGAATGGACAGCAGGCCTCTGAGGCAGTGGACAAGAAAGTTTTCTTTCTTGCGCCCAAGCTCCCAGCCCTAAGCTAAGGCCCCAACCTTGTGGTCAGCAGCAGAACACAGGCAGGTCAGGGCCATCCTGTCTGACTAGCAGAATGACTGTCCCCTCTGCCTCCTCCTCTGCCATCCCTCTTCCTCCGCTCCCTGCCTCTGGGACACAGCCCAGGCCTCCAGCCTTTATGGCCTCAGCTTTCACAGGGCTGAAGTCTGTGTGTCCACACCTCAGCCCCCATCCAGTGGGTGCCCATAGGAACTTACTACCATGGTGACAGTGCTGGCTCTAACAGTGAACGCCAATGCATTTGAACTAGAATTCTGATTCAAAGCAGGTGCTGGCTCTGAAGCTCCTGTGGGAACAGGTTGATGGGTGGAGGGGAGGAGGGGGACTGGGGCCCCAGCCTAGCTGTGATGACCATCTTGGCAGCTGCAAGGCAGCACTTGGGCCACTCCCTATATCATCTCCCCCCGAGCCTCATGGTGAACTCAGCAGCGCCTGCTCATTTCCAGCTCCAAGCCCAGCCCCCCAGTGCTTGCTGTCTTCAGATGTAGCTGATCACAGGTTTTGTAAGAAGAGACTGTTCTGCCCTTTTTCCACTTCCACAGCCTTCAATAAAGATATGAGTCTCCACAGCCTGATGCTGCAGTCACAATCTCTGCTCTGCCCACCCCAGAGACTGAGCAGCCTCTCGCCTGGTCAAGACGGGACTTCCCAGGCATGGGAGAGCTGCTCTTTGAGGGGACCTTCCAGGACTTAGCAGAGCTGAGAACCCGTTGTTGCTCAGTGCTGAGGGCCTCATGGATGTGAACCCCCCATTCCACGTGGGGAGACCCAGGGTGGGCCTGCCCGGGATCATCTCCAAAAGGGAGATCCATGTGGAGGGAAAGAAGCTTCAGCTTCAAGAATTACCCCGTAGAGGAGTCAGGAGCCAGAGACCAGAGTCTACAGGAACTTTGCCCTGCCCCCTGCTGGGTAATCTTGTACCCCTGTCTGTGTCCCCAGAGCCACAGGTGGTAAAACCCTTCACAAGCAAGTGTGGGAGGCCGAGGATGTTGGCAATGTATCATTAATGGTTTCTGTCTTGGCTGTGGCAGATGGAATTCACAGCAGTACCGCAGGCTTCCCCTGGCACAGGTAATATGATTTGATCAGTGTCACCACCCTTAACCCCCCCACCTGTCCCAGATGCCCAAATTCCAATCCTGGAGCTTTAGTCTCTAAGAGCAAGTCCACATACATCACTTGTGCTTCATCTCTGAACTCTGTCTTAGGTTTATCCATGTTAACTAACCATGAGCTTGCTGGGCCATAGGCCAAGACACTGAGTTTCCATTCTCAGTAGCGTATAACTCTGGTCTGGCGTGTCAAATTCGCTGATGCTCAGGCTCTGACTCTGTAAAATGGGGTAATTCAGGTCATTTTTACCTCACGGGATCTCGTGTGAACCAACAAGAACACGTTTGTAAAAATAGTCCTTTAACATATGAAGAACCACACAAATAGGAGACCTTGTTTCACAGACAACAAAGGTGGCAGTGTTACAGCTTTTTAAGTTATTAAAAAAAATGGATATTTGTTGGATCTTAGTAAAAAAGTACATAGGCTGGTCTTCAGGGGGATAAAGAACAAGATGTGGCACAGAGCACACAACTGTGGGGTCCCAGGGCCTGAGGGAGCCAGGAAGGGGGACAGGGAGTCCCCCTTGGAGGGGCTGAGCGGTAGATGGCTCAGTGTCCCACACACACCCCAATGGGAGATTTCAGCCACGGACCTGGAGCAGGAACAGCCTTCCTGTGGCAGCCCAAGGGCTCACTCACACCCCCAGGAAGGTCGCTTAAAAATCTTCTTCAACCCCATCCTGCCTCTTCCTTCTCCCTGCACAACACCAGCTGTTAGCTGCCGCCTGACCTACTGTTCTCCCTCCCTGCAGCCTCCCCTCACCCAGCCCGGGCCTGCCCCGCTTCCATCCCTATTCCTGCCCTGGACTCACCCTGAGCCCCTACTCTCAACCCTCACAATTCTCCACATCTCAGGGGGTGCCCTTCACCCAACACCTCCCAGCAGGCCGACCCCGACCCTGCTCCTATCTCCTCTGACCTCACCCCTCCCCGTGCCCCCAGCCCCTAAGCCTAGAGTAAAGGGGTTCTTTCTCGCCTTTCCTCACTCCTCACAATCAAGGGAACTCCACAGCAAGTGACACCAAATGTCACGTCAGAGAGTGGGTCGCACACTGGGGACCCGCCGATGGGAAGGGGAGCAGAGCTGGAGCGGCTCCCAGAGTCTCCAGCAGAGGGCGCGGCAGCCTCATCGCCCGGCGTTGAGGCGGCGGCTCCACGTGGGTGGGCAACCGCAGTGTGGGGTTTAGGCTGGCGTTGGCTTCAGTCTTTTCCACAAAGGGCCACGCATACTTCCGGTGGCATGGGAGGTATCTTTAGGTAGATGGTGTGTGGAGAAACATTTATAAAAATCTGAACCTTTTTGTATTCATTTTAACATCAATTAGAAAAAATATAAACAGCACATCAAAACCATGATTTCTGGAATACAGTTGCTCAGAATGACACCGAAGTGAGATTCTTTAAAGATCTAATTTAAGGACAAACATTAAGTAACTACAAGCTGAGAAGGAACACAGGTATAGCAAAACTTGTGACTGTAGAAGTGACATCATTTGGGGAAATACTGGGTGACGAGATTTTCACATATTGAGGTATATGGGGTAACTATTTGAGTTCAAAACTGATTTGGCTTGAACTAAAAGCCTGGCTTTATGGCCTGTCAAACATACATTGTACATCTGGTTATCTATTGAAGTAAAGAGTGCACTCTCTTAAGATGCGAATGCACACTTCCCCTCCTACGCCCTACTGGTAAGACCCAGATTAGTCCCTTTCCTGACATCAGGGTCATGTTGACCTGCTGATTTGCAGCTGAATACCTCCTTGAAATTTTGATGGAAATGTATCCTGGGTGTGTTTAATGTATGTTCTTTGTTCTAAAAAGATATGACTGTACTGAAACTCATGCTTCTCTGGAATGCCTTCTAAGGCCTTCTCTGTTTATAATCCTCACTCTGGCTCATGACAAACTCTTCCCAATTTTGATTTATAGGTTGGTTATGGATTATTTGCATTGACATGGGTTACCAGTGGAATTAGAGTGAGGATTATGGGTGAAGATTAGAGCTAAAGTTAGGGCCCAGGTTAAAATTGGGGTAAGGATGGGGTGGGGTTAGGAGTCGGGGTAATGAGGCCTCAGGCTAGGATTTGGGGTTATATCAAATGTTGGGTCATATTTGGTGATTACGGTTAGGAATGGAGTTAGGAATTTAATTAGGAATTGAGTTAGAGTCATTCTTTAGGCTGCAGGTATTTGTCACTTTAGCAACAGAAAAGTCCGTGAGACTGCAGACAGTTGGGCAGGAGCTTCTGAGGAGGACCCCCTAATATGGCACCCCAAGTGCAGTCCGCCTTCCTCCCCAGCATCCTCTTCTAGAAGCACTGAACCCCGGGGGCACAACGACCCAATCGAGGCATGAGAGCCTCCAGGACAATCAGGTGAGTAAGGCACCCAGCCGACCCCACTGAAGCCTGACTACCTGCTGGACACTGTTTTCCTATTCAGCACATTCACCTCATTTAGTCTGGCCAACCGTGCACGGTTCCGTCATCACCGTCATTTTACGAGGAGCACGGGGGAGGGGTGGCGCAGGAGGGTTGAGTGCCTCACTCAAGGTCATCAAACTTGCATGAGGCTGAGTTGGGATTTGCCCCACAGGGTGACTGCGTCTAGACTGGCACCATCTGTGGTCCACACTGCCCTCTGTGCCGCTGTGGGTTGAGGGATTGGGTTTTCTGCTCTCCTTCCCGTGCCCTCCTGGTCTGCTGACCCCACAGGATGCAAATGCAGGTCCCAGAAAGCTCACACCCCAACCTTCTGGTCCCAACTACCCTAATTCTAAGTTTTTCTTTTGGGGCAGTGCTTCTCCAACTTTTTTCCCCATTATTTCCCCCCAAAGGAGCTTTTTAGACAATTTTTTTCCTAGTCACGACTCCTCCCCATGAAAGAGCGCTTAGGCTTTCCCGCATACAAGATCATGACATCCGCAAATAAAGATCATTTTACTTCTCTACACAGACGTACTGTCTATCTGTTTATGTGCTGGGATCCTTTGGAGGGTCAGAAACCACTGGAATATCTAAGGTTGTTAGTGCTGCCCCCATCCTCTGTGGGGCGATAGTGCCCCTGTAGAGAATGCACAAATTACTGTAAGGCCCCGTGTCCAGTTACAATGCAAGTAAGAACTGTCATGGGGGCTATTGACCCTTCCATGTGGCTCACTTCTCGGGTGGGGTGAGGCGGGAATAGGCTGCAGGGAGATGGAAGGGAATGTGGGCAGAGGTCTCTGAGGACACGCTTCCCTGGAGTGGCCTTGGTCCTGGACTCAGGCTGAGCCTGGGGCTGGGGGAGTTTTGGGGGCAGCATCATCATTTATTTTTGTCTCTGAATCCAGGTGTCAGCTCCAGACCCTTTGGACCTGAATAAAGCAGATGCCTGTGGGGACTCTATTGAGAGAAGTGTCTAGAATTTCAACTGACTCTCCCTCTCAAAAAAAAGCAAAACAAAACAGAAAGTTTGGAAGTCTCTACCCACCCTTACAAAATGCATTTGCTGACAAGTGAGAGGAAAATTCCTTCATTCTTGGCTCAAAGAACTTCCTTAAACTCAACCCAGAGGAATTCTTTAAAGACCAGCTGCCTGGACTATGCAAAAGTCAGTTTATAAATATTATAAATATCCCAAACTTGATATCCAAGCAGATTACAAAAGCTAGCTAGCTAACCACAGAAATTTTCCATAAAGCTAGCCAGCCAAACAAGTGTGATAGGAGATATTGTGAAATGCAGTGTCGCTTGTCTGATTGTCTAAAACCGTGTTTGTAGTGTGGAATGAATGCAGAGGGCCTGGGGGTAGAACTTACCTGGGGGCTGACTCTCTCCTGGAGTTCCACAGCCATAAAGCCCTGGCTGATACCAGGGTGGACTGATTCTACAGTAAATCCGTCTGACCAACCAGGGAGGAGGCAGAGGGTGGGCAAGGCTGGGCCCACAGTGTTGCCCTCGTGGAGTCTGCTTGTGAGCCGGGAAGGGCGCCCTGTGGTGGTTAGGACATGGGCTTTGGAGGGACCTGGTTCAAATCCCAGCTCCGTTTGGGCCTGGACAACTGCTTAGCCTCTGTGGTCTCACATGCAAATTGGGGTAATAATGCGTACTTCAAAAGTTGTGAGGATCCAATGAGATACATAAAGCACTAAACTTTGTGAATTGGCAATGCTCAATAAAAAATAACGCTATACATCCAGCACCCTAGAGGAGAAGGCATCATGCTGACTCCCAGAAAGCACTGCAGGTTTCTTCCCTCCCCGCCCCCCCCCCTTCCCTCCCTCTCTCTCTCTCCTCACTCTCCTGGTTCCAGTCCTGTCAGGATTTGGGTGACTCTGTCCCCAGCTGCTTCTCCTGGGACCTCTGTCCCCATGTCTCCAAGCCTCCTCAACTGTCTCCTCTACCCCGATGGGGTCACCCTGCAGGCTGCGGGCTGGAAGGATTTACAGCAGTCCCCTCCCTCCTCAGCCCCCATC